AATAACGCTTGCGTTACTCGTTACCAGTAACGCATAATATAATAACGCTTTAGTCGCATTGTGTCCGGAAGGTGATAAAACAATACATTTTCGGTTGTTCGTCACTCATGCGGTGATATTTGAAGGCGTTGCTTTACTCAGTAAAGTAACGCATCAGTAAAGAAAATGTGCCACCCCTGATTACCACAGCATTCTAGCCGCTGAGTTCTGGAAAGGGTCGAAATATCATTTATATCATTTATACGTAAAAATCCCATAATTCACCAATCAATTCAAATTGCTTAAACTTTCTAAAAGCTTGTTTTATATTTTTTGCAATTCTAGTTAGGTTTCCGAGAAACAGTCTTCGTCAACAATACTGTTTTAATCTTTTAACGACCTGGATTGGTGGCATGAGTAAAAGATAGCGTAAAAATAGATATGTATTTTCTAATGCGTGACCTGTGCATATCCAAAACACTATTGCAAAATTTGTTACGCCTTAAAAATCAACCGAAACTTTGAGCAAATCGCCGCGCAAAACATCAAAATACTACTTACTACGTTTATTAATAGTAATATTTTCATTAGCCACAACTCATCATCATCTAATTTCACGACCGTTTGTAATTGTGGAGTTTTTACAAGTTTTTCGTTAATTTTCAATACATATTTTTTATAAGGATCATTTTTAAAATATTCAATAGCGTCTTTCGTCAAATACGTCTTAACTTTTGTACCAATTTCATTCATTGTTTCACAATATTTTTCAATATCATAAATGCCAACATCATTTAACATAGCTGAAAATGAAATTTCTTGTATCGAATTGATTGGTAGTACTGTTAACCCTTTGAGGACGGGTGGGTTATTTTTCACCCACCTATTCTTCAGTAGAGAAAAAAGTGTTTAGTTCACATTAAACTATTAAATATGTAAGGTCATTAACGTCATAAACAACCGCATGTGTCATCTCATACTTCTCTTTTCTTTCTTTCCTTCTCCCATATAAATCCTTTTCAAATGTCCTCTGTTTTTGCTGCTAAGGTACAGTGACGTCATAATTTCTCTCTTCTCTGATTTTTTGTTTTTCGAGAATATTCTCATTCTCTGTTAAGTATATACATATACTCCCGTTCTCATTGACTAATTTACGTTGTTGTTGAATTTGCAAAGGATATCATTTCTCTTTCGCACTTGTACTCTTTATTTCTTCATACTACATGGTTTCAATGGCGAAGTCTCTCGTGCTCCCGCAGTGAACGAATAAGTCGTGGAAGACCTCCTTCTGAACAGAAGTCTGAACTAGCATCACCAAAAACTATCCTTAGTTTTGACAATCAAATCATTTGTCTGTGACAGCAAAAAGAAGATATGCTTATTGTAGCACCAAAGAAGCAGATTTACGATCCATTATTGAGAGCTTAACTTGCAAATTGCCATTTTGTTTAAGAGATAAAAAAATTGTTTTTTTGATTATCATAAGGTTTTTATGTGACCATTTTGAGTTAAAATAAAATAAAAAGGTTGAAAAATGTTTTTGGGATTAAAAAAAATTCCGTCCTCAAACAGTTAAGTAACATTCAAAATATTTTAAATTATATGCCGGAAAATTATCTTTTCTTTCTAAAAATTTCATTGCGTCTAACAATTTATTCGCTTTATGAAAAATCGTACGAGTGCATGCAAGAAATCTAGGGATGCACCAGCCCCAGTTCTTCAAACTGGTTCGAATTGATCTCAGATGGGACAGAATTGACTAGAACTAGCCTAGAATTGGTCTTAAGTGGCCGAAATTGATCTACAGTGGTACCGAAATTGACTTATATCAATTAATAAATACGAGCATCGGCCAAAAATGACAAAAATTCAAAACGAATCGTCAATAATTCATATCAATTATTATTAATTGTAGATCAATTCCGGCCAGCTTTTGACCATCCAGTCAAAACTTTTTAATGAAAACAATAGAAAATAGTATTTTTTATTTTAGAATACAATGACTTATCGCTGCGTGTTATTCAAAGTCAATGATATATCATGAGATATCTTTTGTCGGATTCATCGTAAGAAAAACATACATCATGATACATCATTTTCTTCAAACAAAATGTGATATATCCTTTGTACCTCCCAAAAAAAAGATATATCCTTACGCATCCTCCAGAGTAAGATACATCCTTACTACCTTGAAAACTAGGATATATGTTACAGCTAGGTTTGTGTGGCTACTTGTTTGTACCTGTTTTTACTTTAAACTCTGTTCTTGGATTTTTTATTTTTATTTGTGATCAACCGAACAGAGTTTTCCACACACATTAATCCCACATACTCTTTCCCAATACATACGAAAATATCTCTAAAGCATCTCATCTCAAAGTATCTACAAAAATGAATGAAAGAAAAGAGAGATATAGCTTTGATTATTCTAGTCGACAATGAAAATAATAGTCCGAATTACAAAAGAGAGAGAGAAGTGAATTCTATAAAAGAAAAAAACAGACAAATATCTTGTTTGTGTGCAGTATGTGATAAGTGTTAACACTAGTCAGATAAGAGAAACAAGTTGAGTTAAAGTCAGCATTACTGTCTTCTCTCATATATGAGCTATCGTTTCTATAAGAAAAGTTCAGCTGCGTTCTGGAAAGAGAAGTGAACGATATCCAGTAGTTCTGAGTGAAATAGTTTTCTGTATTTCGCACTGACATGTTGTTTTAAAAATATCTTTATTTACAGCTTCAGTCCCGTTTTAGACAAAGATCTTACAATTCCTTGAAGTCTTATGTGAATCTCACGCTTCAGTTGCTTTCTGTCAACATAACTGAACCGGATTCTTCTAACGATAGCAAAGCTTCTGTATCAAGTATTACGATCGTCATCTGTTTATGATAAGTTGTACCTAAAAAAAACATTGAGTTCTAGCTATAATAAAGCCATGGAATCAAAAGAGACCGAAAACGTGATAGATGCTAATTGAAAGACTGCAATATAGAACTTTGCAGACTATGAGAACGTCACTTCATTGGCAATTAGCGAGAACTATGACTCTTTTACTCAATACAAAGCCTCTATCTGGCATATAACTGGTGTATCAGAAGAAATAGGTCACTTAGTATTTTTCCAATACCTCTGTCAATTTTCATTCCCACGACGCGAACTTCTTTTTAGAGGATTCCACATTCGATTCTCTACAAAAACTATACTGAACAGTTTTTATACGCGGTCTTATATCGCATGTTATAAAAGACTAAATTTTTTTAGATTACAAAGCAGTGGCGACTGGAGCTTCGCAGTGTTTCTATATTCTATCTGTATTGCTTTATTTATATCATGTATAAAGATATTCAATATAGTTTTGTAGAGAATTGACCGGAGAATCTTTTAAAAAGAAGTTAGAGTAATGGAAATGAAAATTGACAGAGATATTGACGAAATACCAGGTAACCCGTTTCTTCTGATAAATCCGTTGTATGAATATAAATGCCTGACTTGTAGAGTTTTCACCAAGATGTCCTAGAGAACGTAATTGGGGCCAAGTACTTGGACTAAGTATTTCGTCTGCATAATGAAGCCGGTACTTGCTATTTTTTCAGAACTAAATTTACTTGTAAGTACTCGTCCTTACTTGCCAAGTACTTTTAGAAGGTACTTCTTAGCAATACGTCAAGTATTTCGATCATTGACCAGTACTTGGCGAGTAATCAAGTACTTGCATCAAGTACGTTCTCTAGGGTAATAGTCATCGCCTCTATAACTTTGTGAAGCGCATCATATGTATGTCGCGGTAATTTTCAGTCCACCCATCTAAGCTTGCACCAATACAGTATATTGGGTCCCAATAATATTGGTCACCTAATCTATTGGAACCAATAATATTGGTCACCCAATCTATTGGGTATTGAATGGTTTGAGTTCAGCCTATTTTTATGAATGGAAATTTTAATGTTAAAAAGTCGGGTACGAAGAATGCTAATGCAAAACATTGCATAGCTTGGACTGGTGGTCGGGTACATCGCATCCAAAGTCCACTTTCTTCCAGTTTTTTAACACTTGTTTCTAGTCTTTTTTACAACCGCAAGATTTCTAAAAATTCCACTTGCGTAGCTACATTTCTCAAGTTTCTTCATTAGTGCTTTCTTGTCATAAGAAAGTTGGGAGAAAAAGTAATATTTTAGTGATTATCGATGCCTAACTGTTATATAAAATGTTCTTTTCTATATCCATTTCGTTCAAGCCATGTTCAACTATTATCGTATAGAGCATCGATTAAAATGTATTTTAGATGGAGTGTAGAGCACTATCGCTAAATGGATTAAAA